GATACCCGCGCTGCTCAGACCTTATATAATCAGTCACCTGGACCTTGCCAAGCACAGATTCTAGCAGGTCTAGGCTTTGCGTTCGTGACAGGTGCCACAACGCTGCTGCTCCAGGGAGCACATGTTGAGTAGCAGGAAAAGTTGCTCCGAGCACAGCTCCTTGCCCCCTCCTTGCATTGAACTGGGAGTAGAATTCTGCTTCCAATTATGCCTCAGTTGAGTGACATTTATCCCAGATTTTCCAGAATCAGTCTCATTTTAATATTTTCTCATACATCAAGCTGGTTTGGAAAATGTGGGTAGCCCATACAGACTGGGTGCTTAACCCTGCCGTGAGGACTGGCTAGGGCTCACCTCTTAACAATATGCAGGAAGAGTTATTTGTATCTCTCAGATCAGTTGATTTTTCCAAAGAGCTAACAGCAGGAGCTGTGGAGACAAACACTTGGGAATTCAAGTCCCTGCCTTCGCTGGGACTATGTTTCAGTCTTGGGTAAATGCTCTCTGCCTCAGTGTCCTTATCTGTAAATGGTAACAGTGCCAGTCTCACAGGGCTGCTGTGGGAATAGAATGTGTTAATATTTCTAGGCTTCTTGGGACCGTGTCTGAATGTAGCAAGTGCTTTAATGACTTAGTAAACAAGTCCCGCTCCACCCACCAACAACAGCTGCAGATCCTGGCGCCTCTGGGATCCCACGGCTGACTCTGGAATTAACTTTTCCTGAACCGAGCAGCAGTGCGCTCCCAATGTTTGCACACCCTGACTGCCTCTCTTGGTCCGTGTTCCTTCGGCTCCAGTTTTCATAATCTGGGGAGGAGACTGGGTTCTGAGGTTGCTTTTACAAATCACCTGTGGAGTGGACAGACCCCTCTCGATTCCTGCAAACCGCACACTCCTGGGAGCCACGTGAAGACGCACGTGAGCGGGGAGCTCGGAGGCTTCTTGAGGGGAAACATTTGCTCTGAGGCTTCAGGCGAACTTTCCATGGTAGGCTGATGCCAGATCCTGGACTCCAGATGGCCTCGCCGTGTCAGCCAATAGCAAAGAGGAAGACTGGCGCTTCCAAGCGGACCTCAGTTGCCACTAATGAGCCCCAGCCGTTCACGCCGCCTGCTTGCGTGCTTTCCGGCTTGTCTGGTTCTCGGGGGAAACGGGAGGTCCTGGGGAAGATGGGCGGGCTCGCTGCCCCGGGTGAGGGAGGGCCGATGGCCTTCACGTTCCCGAGATCGCATCTTAGCGGCGTGGGCGGAGGGGGACCCGGCTGGGGGACCGGCCCGAGCCCCCCTGGTGTGATCTGGGGTGCAGATCCCACGCCTCACGCCTAAGCTCCTGTTTGGGGTTCTGCCCAATAGATGAGCCAGAGTTCTGTAGACTCTTTCTCCTGACAAGACTACTCCACGTTAGCTGTGTCCCAGCCTTAGCTGTGTTTAGGCTTGGGGAGGGGGCTAAGGTCTCATAGCAGCCGCTTCGTGTTGGCGGTGGACCTGGGCGTGGACCTCGGGGCCACCTGTGACCAGGCACGGGGCCAACTGTGCCCTGGCAGGGGCATCTCCAGCCGGGGCTTTGCCGCAGCATCGTCCGGGGCAAAGCTGTACCTGGTCCCAAAGTTCTGGAACCGGGTCAAATGACTGTGCTCAGGCTTGACCTTTTTTTTTTAAGATAATGAGTTCCTGTCACTTTACCTTTCAGAGTTCATTTGCTTCTTGAGGTTGTTTTTGTCAACGCTGACTCGTAATTAACTCAAGACAAAGCTAAAGGGTCTTCATGTAAGAAAATTAATTATTCAAGCAAGAGGGAACTCTATATCATATTCAAAGACTTAGTTCCTTTTTTGTAGTTCAGAGACTATCAACTGGTTTTTGAGATCGTCTCTCTTTGTTCGTTAATAATGAGCTAAAAGAGTAATTTTGAGTTAGTTTATAGGTGTTCTTTAGCTATGTGACCTCAGGAACATTAACAAAAATATAAGGAAGGGCTCCGACCGGGGGGCGGAGCTTTTGGGACAAGGGTTCTAAATTAAATTTGTTGCAAAGCCTTCTGGACTTCACTGTAGAATCTGTGTAATAGCTGTTTTTCCACTGCACCTTCAGACTTTGGGAACAATGCCTCACCCAGCAAAGGCTTCTGGAGTAGTGCTTCTCAGATCATCCAGGGATCTCCTTAAAGTGAATTTTCAGATTCACTCGGCTGGGCTTGCATTTTTAATATGCTTCCCGGGGATGCTGCTGGAGAGTGGATTATACTTCAGTGACGATTTTCTCAAACAGTGGTTCTCAAAGTAAGATGCATAGACCACCAACACCAGGAAACCTGCAAATTCTTGGGACCCACCCTGACTTGTGGAATCAGAAACTCTTGGAGTGGGGCCAGAGTGGGTCTGGGTTTTACACTTCATCTTAGGCAAAAGACCAAGAAGCAATTGGGTCTGGGTTTTAACAAACCTTACGCTGGGGATTTAGCTTAGCGGCACAGCGCCTGCCTGGCAAGCGCGAGGTTGTGAGTTCGATTCCCGGGCCGGAAAACAAAACAAACCTTGCCAGTGATTCTGAGGCATGCTCAAGTTTGAGAACCACTTTCTAGAAAACTACTGTTCTGGAAAAGGGTGATAGGTATCCTTTCATTGTAACACAACCCAGGAGTGGAAATTTTTCTCTGATGAAAGGTCTCCTTTGGGTCTAGCCTGACATCTAGTTCTTTCAGGCTTTCTCGAAGTTATACTTTTAAGGTTCTCATAGAACTCTACAAAGAACCTTATGAGATGTTCTGATTCTTTTCCCCTATGCTTTATGCTCCCCTAGGAATTTTGTCAACCTCTGAGCCTTCAAATAACTGATGGAAAGCATAAGATGAAAATTAAGTGGAGGAAATGTCCAGAACCCATTTATCTTATTTGGTTAGCACTTGTCACTTCTGTGTCCAGAGATTTGGATCTCCCGCTTACTTCAATTCAGAGTTTAAAGATATTTTTTTTACAGTGCCTTAATAGCTTTAACACTTACACTAGCATTATTTAAAAAATTAAAAAAGAACAGAGCAGTGGGAAAGAATAATTAAACTCTACAAGAGCTTTTAAGTAGTTTTATTGGATGTGAAATTAAGTAGAGTCCTATGGGAGTTGTTCTTGGGGCAGTTAATTCACAGGAGCCCACAGCTGTCATCCTGTGTGGCTGCAGAAGAAGGGACAAACAGAATGGCCATGAGGGGGACACAGCTTTTTAGGAGGCCAGGGAGCACAGAAGGGTTTCAGATATGGAGTAATCCTTGCTGTATGGAGATTCTCAAACTGGAGTATATTTATAAAATTTGACTATGAGGGCATAAACTCTCAGGCTGTGAGATCCTGATGACAGGGGACACGCCTAACAGCAAGTGATTGGATTCGAGTTGGAAATTCCAGCCCCCAAGGCAGTGTACCTCTATTGGCAGAAGTCTTTCTGGTGGCGGATATAAGCATCCTCCCGGGAGGGGAAGCTGGATTCTCCTAGGAGCCTTGAGTCTAGGGCTAGATTTTCCAGGTCGTGTGTACAGCACTAGCCTTTGATGGCCCCCATTTATACAGTTACTACTGCAAATGCACATGGGAATCTTCAAAGAGATTATGTATTTTCTGGTAGAGATCTTCCAAGATGAGCAAAAGGGTATATTTCCAGATAATTGTCAAAAAAGGCCTGGACAAATATACAACCAATAACAGTTACCCAGAAACTCACAGTGGGAAATAGCACGGTCAAATGGCCCCCCTACAGGGGCTTACGACGTATAAATTTGGACAGATTTGAACAATCTGCTGACTTTGCCCTAATTAAGTGACCCAAGACATATGGTAACAAGCTCTACTCAAGAAATTAAACACCTGCTGTCAGCTCCTTGGCCAACCCCCCTGACCCCTGAGCTTGTAATGTTAGGAATTTGTACACTGATGTGTGGGGTGATAGGAAAGATAGTTAAGGCAACATTTTCACCCCTGTAGAGCGTGTGCTAATGAATTAAGTGCTGAGAATTCTACTCCACACCCTGACATTATTGGCTGGCCAAGTTCTCCAATTTGAAGAAATATTTCTGACAGAGTGAGAAGATTTTGAGAATCTTAAAGAGTACAGTCAACTCCCAGTTATTTAGGGGTTGACCATCACCGTTGGAAAACACCCAGAATCTTAGCTTTTCTTCTTTTCATCCATCATTTCCCTCCCTCCTCTCCTCTCCTACCAATCTCTTTTTGGACCTTTTCACAGTACATTAGACAGCTCAAATGATGGGCAAAGGAAATAACGTGCAAAAAATGAGAGCAACCAGAATTTATAACATTGACCTATTAATCCTCGATTGGGCATAGGTTTGGATGGGAGAAAATTTGAAACTCTTGGTGGAATCAATTATTTTAAAGCTGGGCATGGAGGACCATGCCTACAATCCCAGTGCTTGGGAGGCTGAGGCAGGAGGATTGCTGCAAGTTCAAAGCCTGGGCTACAATAGTGAGTTCAAAGTCTGCACTACATAGGGAGACCCTGTCTCAAAACACCAACCAAATAAATAAAAATAACTATTTTGGTTGTTATTATTATTATTATTTTTTTGTGGTGCTGGGGATTGAAGCCAAGGGTGTTCTACCATTGAGCTACACCCCCAGCTATTCTTTTTTAACCCTAAGTTGCTAAATTGCCTACATTGGGCTCAAACGTGTAACCTTCCTACCTCAGCCTCCCCAAGTGCTGGGATCATGGACTTGTGCCACACACCTGGCAATTTTGGTTATTAATGGTTGCTAGTTAATGAATGACTCATTATCAATGCCTTGGATAATATGATTTACTTTATTAATAGATATAAAAATTTAAAAAAAATATTAAGAATGGCTATCATTTTAGATAGATAAGTAGTCCCTCAATGATCAGAATGGGCAGTATCGGTGGTGTTAGTCCCGCTACGACAAGCCAAGGTCATTGCTTCCCTTACACCCCCGTTCCCCAATCCTTAACAAGTCAAGATGATAAAAATATACCTGTCCTGCAGTGTCATACAGTCCAAGCAAGTGCTGCTTGCCTCCCACGGTCACAGTAACTAGGGGAGAAAAGAGGAGAATCCATAAACAGAAGTTTCGCTCAGGAGCGTTCACATTTCTCCATGCCAGCATCTCTCTGGGCAGCAAGGATAAGCATATGCCGCAGCCCTGTGTATCCTACACCAAGTCAACAGCATGGTTTCCAAATGAAAGACAATCTTGAGCCACTGTGATGGCAGATGGCGTGAGCCAATCCACATTTTTCAACCCAAACAAGTATCACTGGAGCCACGAGAGCATTCCATAAGCTGCTCATTGAGTTTTTTCAGGCTCTTGAAACCGAGCTCTTGCAGGAAAAGGCCGTAGGACCTCTTCCTAGTTAGGTTGCTACCTTTTCTTTGGTTTGAGCCTTCTTTCAGGATACCGAATTGTGTAAGGTACTTCGTGATAGAAATCTCTCTGCTTCTATCTGTCTTTGAAATGTTAATAAAATCTTGGAAACAAAGAATATTAACTTACTGCTTTTTTTTTTTTTTTTTGGTACTGGGAATTTAACTCAGGACCTCACACTTGCCGTGGAGGTAGGTGCTGTGCCACTGAGCTATATCCCTAGCCCAATATTTTGTATTCTTTAAAGGAAAGCAAATAACTAAATGAGAAGAGCTTAGTGTTTATTTCAAGTTTTCTAGTGAAATACAAACATGATTAAAAATGTAACAAAATGTTCTTGGGCATTAGTCCAACTGATCCTTTATGATTTTAAAACTTAATTCCAGAAGGAGTGTTGCATGGTTAGGTTTCACCTACCTACAGGGCATATGGAAAGCGAAGAGTAACCAGTTTGATTTTCCCAGCAGGCTTCCTACCTTGCCAAGCAATTGTGTCCAAAAGTGAGAAGTAATGCAGGGATACCAACCACTCTGTACATGTCTGGAAATGAAATTTAGTCTCAAGTTGAGACTAAAATGAGACTGAGCAGATTGAATGGGAGAGAAGGCAACTCTTGCGGCGAAAGGAGGGAACACATTTAAGTTTCCACAAAAGCCGAATCTCTTTGGAAATAGGAAATAAAATAGGAAGAAAAGCATGACTTTTTTCCTTAGTTGATTAAAAAAATGTGCAAATGCGTGTAAAGATGATTCCTGGTTCCTGCTATCATTAGCGGTGCAGGAAATGAGAAAGGAATGGAATAGCAACATTTTATAACCGTATCTCTGACATATGCCAGCCAAAGTCTTTAGTTGGCTGCTCAGAGTTTCTGATCTGCTATTGATTTTTATTTTTGTTCCCAGGTTCGTGAGCTACTTCTACGCAAAGCATTTGTTAACATCCTTCTTTGAACAGTACTTGTTTAAAAGCACTGCCTCCCCAGGTCCCGGGAACTGTTTTTCTAATCTACTCAGACCCACATGTGTACAGCTAGATAACATAGCTGCAGCCACCAGATGGGCTTTTAAGGCGATATTTTTAAGGAAAGCCAGCTCTGTCCAACCCCGGTTACAATGCTGTGAGAGGAAAGGCATTTCTACATTTTACTTCTAAGTCCTAAGTCAGGTTAGCAATAGAAATAAAGGTGACGTGATGTGGCCCAGGACTCTTTGTTCTGTTTCATTTTTCTCTTCTTGTACACTGGCAGAAAAGAGCTCTGATGTTTTTGGAATCTGCCTAAATGGTTTCTTGAATGACCAATAGGCCACCTAGTCATGGATCGGGAATGACGGGAAGAAGTCCAGGCATTACAACATGGAATTTCCTTCCCCCGCAAGTCCAGCACATGGAGGCCAGGAGAAGCTGTCCCTGAGACCTTCTTAGACTGTCTCGTACCCTGCGGGACCAGCGCCCTCTGTGGCGTGAGCTGGAAGGCAGCCGAGTCACTCTTGCGGCCCCACTGTGCACTGCACGTGTTCCTAAACGGTGGTTCTGATCTTTGCCCTGGAGCCCTGAGCTCCTGCTGTGTTCTCCGAGAGCAGCCCTTCCCTCCAGCCTGCTTCTCCCCAGGCCTCACACCTTGCTCCTTGGCACCTTTGACTCCAAAGAATTTCATTAGGCCCAAGGCACGTGAGAGCTAAGGAAGGCTAAGCTGTAGGCCGAGAGTCTGGGCACAGCCATCTCGTCCCTCAGTCTCTTTCCCTTCTGCAAGGGTTTGCTGTGTTCCTGGACTAAAGTCAGATTTGGGAGTAGGAAGGACAGATACAGTTCTTCCTCTCACGGCCCATGGAGACAAGTGGTTTTCTGGGAAACCATGGGTACAGCTACTCCAAGGCCATTGTCAAAGGTATGGGGGGCACGGTGAGGGCACTAGTGAGTGAGCGTGCATCTGTGCACACACGCTGCTGAAGCATGGTCTGAGCAGGCTTTCCGGAGATGTCTGCGCTGAGTTTCAGGGGACAGCCCAGAGTTCCCCCAGGCCCTGGGGGAGATGGGGCAGCAGAGGTGAGCCCAGAGCGCAGGGCTGCTCTGGCACACTAACTCAGGCTTTCTTCTGAAGGCTTTCTTAAGCTGTGAGAATCCAGAATACTGTTTCTCACACTCTGTAAAAAAGTGAAAGAAAAGCAATTAAAATGATTTCTTTGGGTTAAGGCAAAATGGCCATGGGAGGGAGGATAGCATTTTTTGTGTGGAAACCATTTAGACTCTCAGCTTTGTGTGTGTGACAGTCTGCTGTGCCTGTGTGAGACTGGCCCGGCTGGAAGAACCCTAAAGAAGGGGAAGAGCGTGCGCCCCTACCCTTGGGAGTCACGTGATTTTCTCTTTCCTACTCTTTTATTCTCCCATTCCATTGGAAAGAAGCTAAGTGGATCACAGTTAGGTCAGAGGACATCAGGGACCGATCTAAGCTTGCTCTCGCATTGTGGGTTGTACAAGTCATGGCTTTGTGAGTCCTCATCTTGGACCAGCTGTGGGTGCCCTGCTGCTCACCAGCCTGTGTCCTGTGAGCTTTCTCAGTTTGGAAAGAAATCATCCACAGCTGCACAGATGGAAAATATTGCCATATAGCAGTAAATGTCAAGGGATCAAAAGTCAGGTGGCTCTTGCGTTTGAATCCGGTCTTTGCTGCTCACCATTTGAGTGACCTTGGGAGAGTCACCAGGTGTCACTGAGCCTGATGTCACTGGGAATACCACCTGGGCATGGTGGTGCCTGTCTATAAACCCAGAGACTCAGGAGGCAGAGGCAGGAGGATGACAAGGTCAGGGCAAGCTGAGGCAACTTAGCGAGATCTTGTCCCGAAATAAGAAATTAAAAAGGGCTAGGAATTTCACTCAGTGGTAGAGCATCCCTGGGTTCAGCCCTCACTAACACACACACATACACACACACACACACACACACACACAAAGGGGATAATATCACCTACCAAAGAGAGTGCTCCTGAGGAGGAAATGAAGTGAGGAGGTGCCTGGTACACAGCCTGGCACATGGCAGGTCCTGAACAGTTCAGAAAATGGGGTTGGTGTTTATTTGGCCCACACTAAGGGCAAGGGCCAGGCTGCCAGTCTTTCTGCTGAATGCCCAGTGCTCATGAATTGGCAGATGATGGGATCTTGGTATTGTGAATTACTTTCTACCCTACATAAGAGTGATTAGACGTGTCTTCTATGCTCTACTAGTTAAGAAGGTCCTGAGGGCAGATTCTTCATTCCCACATGACACAGTATAGGCTCGCACCAATCAGGGTAGGCTTGGAGTGCACAATGCGGAGCTGGAGTCCTTCAGAACGTGCAGAGCTGCAGCTGGAGGCTCCCCTTGAAGACACAGACATGCTGGGAGGCAGCTACAGCCGGCAAAGCTGCCTGGCAGACAGTGATCAGGCGAAGGTCCCAGATCATGTTCTATTCTGGGAGCTATTAGAGTTTAGAGAGGTTTTAAAGAGAGTGGGTCAAATGACCTGCTAATAGCTCACATGGTTCTCTCAATAAAGTGTGAAAAGTTGTCAGTGACCTGTTAAGGGTGCAAAATGAAGGCCTTCTTCCTGAAATCCATTAAATTCTTTGCTGCCTCAAGCGCTTCCTCTTGGAGAGAATTGGAGTGGTTCATTTTGTGAGCTGATATGAGGTGATAATGAAACCTAATTTGGGGGTTTGCTCTCTGGAGGATCAGTTAACTTTACTCAGAGAGAAAATATCCCACACAGGACCCAAGCTTCCTTCCCTTAGCATTCCAGGCATCTCACAAAACTTTGTATGTTATTTGCAAGCCTGGATGAAGAGGTACTAGTGACGCAGTCCATCAGCCGAACTGGGAGCCTGGTTCAAAGCCCCTTCCCTGTTGGGTGGTGTGCTGTTCAGCTGTCAAGAGAAGTCTGTGGAGGTTAATATGCAGATATGATGAACCCGAAGACAACTCTTAGGTAGACCTGCCGGTTTAGTTAAGGGGAGCTCCACTACCCTTTGGTCCCCAGGACAGAGTCAGGTACCTATGTCACCAGGTCTGGAATGCTCTATTTGGTCAGTAGGATGAGGCTGCCCTGACAGGTGGCACAAGGAACACCACGAAGGTCCTCTTTCAGTGGAAGAAACACTAGCTTATAGATATAGCAAGGAATAGAATTCTAAGACAGTTACAAACATAGTTTGTATACAAATGTAGAATGAACATATGTCAAAGACTTACTAACTCATGAATGAGTGAACCAAGAAGATGGTAAATCCTGTCCAAAGAGCATTTGGAGGAACTACGCATTTATAGATACTTAAGAAAGCCGTGTTAGGAGACAGTGGCGAGGTTCAGCAGAGAACTCGTTATCGTCCTACAGAAACGATGCACTTTACTGTCCTCTTTTCTACTTACCAGGAATTGTTTGCATCTCTACCTAATAAGATTTCCAGGTTAACATGTGACCTCACAAAGCTTAAGCTTTTTCTTACTAGAATGAGATGAAGTTACCTTCCCTGGATAATTAATTAATCCTGGGGGTAGGGGATCCATGTAACACACATCCAACATGACCTTGGATGGGCATCTTATGTGTTCTTAGCTTTGTACCCAAGTTTTAGAGAACTTGATGCCTAATTCAAGTCCAAGCTTTGCTAGTTATTTGGTGAGATGTTGGGGTGAC